CAATTGCCCACATATCGAGATTATTCCAATTCTACCATTTACAGATTTGATTTAATTAGTTGACATGTGTATCCATACATTCAGTGAACCAATTTTATTGGAAAATAACTAAATGCAATTTAGTTCCTTGTATTTCAAGTGGAACCATAGAAAGAAGCGGCTCTATCAACTACTTTAACGAAGTTCATTATTGTAAAGAGCGTATTTTCTATATGAAGAGCCAGTAATTTACCTTTATTTGACAATGTAATTTGATGGCTCAAGTCTTCCTTTTTTTATTACTTTCCTCTTCTTATACAAGTTGTATTAGTCAATGTGCATTGCAACTTTTAGATTTTTTAAATGCTATGTCAATGTTAAATTTTTTAAATAAAGGAGTTCTATTGATAAAACTAAACTGCATCGTTGTAAAGTAAGTATATACTGATCATTAACGAAAAGACCAATTGATTTTAGGAGACACGTTGATCAATATGTAGATGTTAGACTTTTGATGTGCTTGGTTAGTGGGAGCTATAGGTTTATTAATTTCACTTATTGTTATGTAATAAACAAAGTTATTTTCTTTCCTAGATTCGTGTTATTTTTACAAGTATGCTAATAAATATGTACATGTTGATAATTTTTGTATGGAATTAAGCTACCTGAGCAGACCAAGGATAAAAACACATGCTACCTCAATATATGTCTAACAATCTGTAAAGAAAATTGTACAAGTAGCTTCTCTCTTCTTTATGGTATGATACTGGTGATGTAACGATATACTTTGGAGCTATTATAATTGTTTCTTTCAACAAGCAAATGTTTGTCACCATAGAAAGGTTTAGCTTCCATAGATGATGATGGTTTAAAAACGGATATAGACTTTGCATATAGATCAAAATGTACATGCTATGTCTATACCATTACCGCGCAATAAGGATTTGAAAATACAAACTTGTTTCCTTTACAATTGTTAAAAATATATACCGTCACAAAAATTATACATCTAGGATTTCAAATCATATAATCAAGCTCAATTTCAATACAAAATCAGATAAAACACCATCCACTTGAAAGGCTCAACCCAAGCTAAATCACTATGGTTGCCATCTTGTAATAACCCACAAATGATCGAGAATGGTGGATGCAATTAACCTCAAAAGAAGGAAGAAGAAATGAAGTAATGGTTCATTAAAGTCAAAAGAACGTGTTTCAATCACACCTGCTCTTGTACTCTTCCTTTGCTTCTAGTCCAACCTCCCTTAATCTGCAGCAACCTTTGAAAGGTATTGACATATTACCGTCCTGATTATGTTTAGGGAGTCAGTGTTTTGGATTATATGATTTTGATGTTTTTCCCAACTTGTGGTTAATTGATCTCAAGATATAGAATTGTTTTTAATCTACAAATGATGTTATAAAGACAGAATGTAATGATCAACCACATTTCTTACGAAGTGGGGTTTATGTATTTATATTAAAGGAATATTGATGTAATACATGATAGATAGAACTCTTAGAAATCATGAACTAGGGTTTCTCGAAAAACACCGTCGCCTGAGAGCCAAGTGAGTGACAGGTGTGTCACTCGAGCGACAGGCGGAAGACAATAATTCTATTCTCAACGTTAGAGCATCAGTTTGGCGACATGCTGTCATAATTACGAAGACTCTTTCTCCATGTTCCATATTCGAATCCAAAGACCTCTAGCTCATCTATACAACATTTCAGTAGACTCTTTAATTTTTAACACTCTTTTATAACAATTCTTTTTGTCTAAAAAATAGACAATACAATTGAAACCTAACAAAAATCTTACGTACTATTAAATAAGAGCTTTAACAAGAAATATTTCCAAATGGATTAGTAATTGAATCATACATGCTTCGCTTTGTGATTTTAGACATGTACTTAATGTCTAAGGAGAAAGAAATTTGAATAAGTTTGGGACTTTGCTATACAAATAGGGCTAAGGATGGGATTAAAAAACACGATTTTGCTAGTGGTATATTGGGGTGTGCACCCCACTCACATAAACGAGGGATCCACTCGAATAAAATATCATTTCTTTCTCATAGGTATGGAACTCATGTGAGTAGGGTGTATATCATTCGATACATCTCATTATGTACCACTAAACAAATTCTAAAAAACATGGGGACACTTGACCAATTTAAAAAAAAAATTAAAATTAGAAGAAAGCATGTACTGACACACAGCGTCTATTTCTAAAATCTGTCCAAAATCCCTTTCACATTAGCTTTACTCAAGTTCTTGACCATGCAGTGACATATGCTGAGATAAAGTAAAAGTCAATGAGATATAAACAATAATAAAGAAAAACCAGCACTCCACGATGACTTGGTCTTGTAATTTGTGCACCCATCAATTTGTATTATCGCAATGTAACCACATATTTAAGGCTCTTATTGATTTTTGTTAAAAATCATATTTTTTATAAATTTTAATAAAAATTAATATAATGTAAGTAATGGCTTTCTCTAATTTGGTGATTTAGAATTGTTTATGCAATTAATTGTTGTTTATTATGAATTTAATGTTGCTTTTGATGAAAAATAAAATATGATAATTTCTACAATGATTGGAGATCAATGGTTAATTGATAATTTTGCTGCACATATTGAAAACAATGTACTTGACAATATTGGTAATGATGTAATTATACGATATTTTCAAAGTAAAAAAAGGGGTAGGCTAAAGTTGTAGTATTATGTTAACTTGTTTTCGTAAATGATATATTGTTTTAAAAAAATGCATTTTAATTTTTGACTCCACAATACAAAATGTTTGAATCCACCCCTAGGTAAGAAGAGGTCTTCGTCAACTACAATCTATGAAAATATGTAGAAAATGAAGAGACACGTTGTCGATAATGAACATGGCTAATAAGAATAATAAATAACGAGCTATCTAGCTACTTATCTACGCAACATCCTTGTTCGAAGTCACTGCACTACCTAAAAAATAAAAATAAAAATAAAAATAAAAATGCTTGGAAGTGATTATCCTTTTTTATTAAACTAAAAATGATTTTTCATAACAAAAATCTAAGATAATCGCCCATAATATATTAGGAGGAAAATAGTCCATCTTGAAAATCCTTTGTTGTCTAGCTCGGGTATAATTGAGTTCTTAAGTTTATTTTAATTATTTTTTCAGTATTTGAATTTTTAATTGTTATCAAGTCTAAGTTTAGAAAATTTCTCATTTATGTTATATTTTGTAACTTTATTTTTTTTACTAGAAATCCGAATTATAACACAGAAGTAGAAAAGTGATAAATTTATATATGATTAGGTGATTCCACAAATTTTATTATTCACGCCTTTTTATAATGCACACTAATTAAAATATATTTTTTTCATAATTACACCAAATCTATTTTATTTTTACAAGGATATCACTAATCCCCTTAAAAACTAAAAAGAAAGGAAAAGAAGGTCCTCTATTTTAGGAGTATATATATCCTTAATCCATTCTACTAGACCATGGAAATCCTCAAATTTTGCTCATTTTTTAAATTATACCATCAACTTTATTTCGTCAAATTCTCATCCTTAATGAACCTTCAATTAGTTAGACATGTCTTGTTCTTACGTTGAAATGAAGGATAAATATTTGTTGGAACTTTGGTATTTGTTGTTTATTTTTCATATTTAAAAATATGAAAGGCCAATAGGTCTCTTCACACCCTCCTACTGATTTTTCGGATATAAATTCTCATAAAAATAAGATATATTAATTAAAAAAATGTTGAGGATAACAATGCGAAAAAAAAAAAATTAAGGACATGAGCGTGAAAATGACCAAAATTCGCACAAAAAAATCCCCCATTTCACAAAGATCCATCCCTGACAAAGAATTGGAATTGAAACTTCAAGATCAAGAGGCAAAAAATGAATTCGATTTAATGCAAAATCCGTGGTAGTTATATTTTTTATTATGCCTTATTTTGTGTTGTATGTTAATATGAGTGTAGAGATCAAGGACTAGCGCAAGTAGTAAGATTGAGGTATTATGAAGTCCGTAACTTCAGTTCGAGTCCCATTTAGAAAAGAAATTCAAATATAGATAAATGAGTGGTATTTATGTCATTTTATATAGGACCATCTTAGTAAGTAAGAAATGGTATAAACAACAATCCTATCTGATATAATCAATTTTCAATATATTAATTAATGCTCTTGCAGTTATTTCAAAACCTTGAAAGCTCAAAACACAAAATGCAGCTACTTTTATTCATCATGAATAGTAGTTTTGACACAAAAGGCATTGCAAAAGTAAGGTGCAAGTTCTTTTCCAAATACAACACTACAACCAAATTGCATAAACTAAATTTCAACTTGTTATTTCACTGTTGCAGCTGTAAACATCTTTGAATCAATACTCCATAAATCGCCTATTAATGTCTATAGGTTTGTCTTTGGTTTACCGGCAGCTATTCGTTTCGTGATAGACCGCATTGTCACGAACTCCTCAGCAGCCGAAGGGTGTATTCCGACCTGCAAAAAGTACAGTAAAAAACGTCTTAGAGACAGGTGGATCGTGTAGAATTTCACTATTTTTGTCTTCACAACTTCCAGATACACATTAGTTGCTGCAACCATCTTTATTATAAAGACTTCAAATCATGAATACACAGTGAAGTAATTGATCCTATTTGCCTACTTCAGCAAAGTTCGATAAATGATTTCTCAATGAATCGAACCATATGGAGCCTGTCTTTTGATTGCTACTCAAGTTCAGGAATGTTTCAAGAAATGCACTTTGCGTGAAAACTAAGAAATGGCCTTCGTACACCATTCGTATTAGTTAATGTCCAATGAGGTATTTTATGCTCCTAAAGGACTAATCAAAGCCTTACTCTCCATTGACATGTTCGGTAACATGCATTAATTGGTCCCAGAATCGAACATGACTAGACCACAGAGGTTCGCAAAGAATGGGAAGTAAAATGAAGAGCAACACGAAGTAATAGCTTTGAAAAGTCATTTCTGCTTACCGTGCTATCAAATTGTGCTTTGGTTGCTCCACATTTGAGTGCAATAGCAATGCCCTGTAGAGAACAGCAGAATATTACTACAATACAGATGACACATTCATATCCCAATTCACAGAAAAAGTTGGATGAGTATAGTATGTGAGGCTTGCAATATGGAGGATTCTTGATGCAACATGGAATAATTTTGATAAGAGGGCTAAGCCATAATTGTACGTAGATTTATTCGCAGTCACATGCAAAACATATATTCAAATACCAAACCATGGACTTGAATAGTAATGTAATTGATCCTCAATACATAATTCGAACGTAAAACCAAGCATGATATGAAGTAGATATAAGGAAAGCAGAGACCCCACAATATCAGATATTGACGCTGAAACTTAAACAAGGATTAGTGCTTTCTCATCATTTTCTTGTAAGAGGTCAAAGTATTTATCGTTCCCCAAACGAATTGGATGGAAATGAATCTGACACATGAGCGTAGCAATTTGACAACAAACAAGAAAAGGAACAAGAAAGAAAGGGGGTCCAAAATGAAAATAATTGAAAGCAAAGAAAATCAATTTAGCATATATTTAAAGGTGAATATTACAATGAATAAGCTCTCGACTTATAGAGCAACAAGTTTAAAATCAAAAGAATTTCTAATAAGCTAGAACTTTATCGAATTATCAAAACTAACATAATCTAAGTAATACAAACATATTTTGAAGTAAACTTTATTTTAAAGTAGTAACTAACTTCTATCTCTATCTCTATCTTCATCTTTATCCTATCTCTATCTCCATCTTAATCTCCATATGACTAAGAAAACAATGCAACCATAATCATCAACACGAAAGAGCAACAGGCACTAAATATTGGATTACCAAAAAATATAAATAACTAATACATGTATGTTAGTCATTTTAACTAGAGATTTTATATTTTTGTTGCAGATATTATCTTCTTTTACACATCTCCCAGTGCAATAAGGAACCAATGCAAGCAAATCCTTCATGACCACAAGCCATGTTGATTTTGATATTGGTCTCCCTATTATGACACGTTCTATCGAGAACGCATAACTCTCGTAAATATTAAAACAAATTAGGTGTAGTTAGATCATATTTGCTCGGATCCTATTTTCAAAAGTTTCAATCAGAGCCCAAAAGTTGAGAGGAGATTGTAATACTCAATAGTTTATAACAGTGGGAATGTATCTCCTTGTGTATTCTCTCTGTTATTTTATCACTATCTGTTTCCTTCTGGCTAGCGGTAGTTTAAAGGTGGTTAAGCGAACCGCTTAACCATGAAAAACTCGTGATTTTCTATGAGTTTACAAGGTAGGGTCTTGCTATAAGGTACTAGTGATTCCATTTTTTCCCCTGTACATGGGCTAAGGGGTAAAGGGGGCGGGTACAGTGAAACGGAGTCTAGAAAGTTGTACACTTTTTCTTTATTTTGTTCTTTAAGTTGAATAAACTATCTAATTGAAAGAATTATAGAGTCAAAAGACTCCTGGTAAACCAATCGAATCGAAACAAGGACATTTAATTCAAATGGAGGGAAGCAAGATTAACTGCATTTATTCTGTAGTGAAGAAACTTGCTATGTTCTGCATTCAAGTCATTGCTAAATAACTAATTGCTTTACTTATTCCAGCTCTTATGGTATTGCATATTTGGAAAAGATACATATGAGGCTAGGGCCAGGTCACTCAGCCCGCACATCAAGAGCTTGGCCTGCCCACTTTAGCCTCTATATATGGCCCCTAAAAAATTACATAAATGAGAAGACTAAATCAGCAATCCAATTTTAGACATGACTTGGCTACTGTAAGTAATCTATGCGTGAAGGGGAAATTGTTTTCTTATACTTTCAAATTCAGTTGTTAATTTCTCCTGATTCCCTTATAAAAGATAAAAATCATTAACATAAACAGAGAAGAGAACCAAGTACATACCTGCATGATCTCAGGTGCATCTGGCCCACACATGGACGCTCCAAGAACTTTATCAGTCTCAGCATCCACGACAAGTTTCATAAATGTCTTTTCTTGCCGTCTATATGATAATACATAATATTGTTAGAGCACTGGCAAAGTGAACCATTAACTGTTACAAAACAAGCAGGCAATATCCTCCCACAATTTTCACCACTCAGCATGAATCGGATCATATGATGAAGTATATTGTCTAAGCAAATAATAAAGCTTCTATATTATCATAACCAGCATGAATTGGCTAACCCTCTAATTAAACATTTCTGGTAATTTGTAATCTCAACATTTTATATCTCCAGAATCTCCAGGTGACAAGGTTTTATTCTCTAGTACAGACCAATGATTACACGACAGTGAAGTTTAACAAGGCCAACCTAAATAACCCAAGCACAGAAAATCATTGTCTAATCAACGTACCCAGAAATGGTGTTCTTCATTGCGTTAAACGTTGATGTGAAAACCAAAATATCACCATTTGCTTGCTCTATAGCCTGTTCTTCACTGAGCCCAACTACAGACAATGGTGGTATACTGTGAAGCAATACACGATACAAGTTATAACATCACCAAAAATTATTAACAATTCAAAAGATGTTTCAATTCAAAAGATATCGTACTAAACTATTAACAAGAACTGAGAACTATATATATTGTAGAATGAGGTTAAACCAAGAACCTGTATTGTCAGATTCGATTGGAGCACAAAGTCTAATTTGCAAGACCAGAAACTAAGTTATAGTCAGGGTCTGTTTGAGCCCAATTTTTTGGGAGAATAGATTTGATTTTTCGGAGAATGTGTGGTTAAATAGTAGGAAAAAGTTTTGGGTATACGTATAAAATTATTTTATTGGATTTGAAATGAGTTTCGTGAAAATTAATTTTCAAACAACGGAGCTCAAGCAGGTGCTCAATTTGAAACATGGTTCACATGTAATGAATGAAGTTGATTTATAAATGGTCAAATTTTCTTGTTCAGCTCATTTTAGCCCTAATAACTCTATTAATACTTTTTCCACCATCAATGTGAGTTTATTATGAATTTGTTTACCTCATGGAATTCATCTTTCTTTGAGTAAACTTTCCAAACTGAGACTAAGAAGTTTTTCATCAGAAAGATACAAGTGTCAGAACATGTACAATTGCAGACTTAGACGTCCTATTTAGAAAACACTGGTGAGAGCTTTCCACAACTAGCCTCTCAGCGAGGCGAGACATAGAGTTTGAAGACGCTAAGCAAATTCCGGGTGAAGAAGAAGAAATGAATACAGGTGAGAGATTTTCGATGAATTGGGGGAAAGTAGACCAGAGTTTGCATAGTAATAAAATTAAAAGTTCGTATTTCCACAAAAAACTTGAATTGCGAATGAAGGTGTTTATGGTGTAGAAGTTGTAATGTAAGTCTTAGACTGACAAAAATATGCATGGCCAAAAATTGCAATTTAAAAGTTCTGAGGATAGATGGTAATACCAGAAGACAGCACAGGGAACATTAGTATGATCAGGTTTCGTAGGTTCTCCGCCAAAAACGGTTTTCTGAGGCAACATCAAATTATTTTAATTAAAAAATCAGCATTTCAAGTTCATTTATAAAAAACAAGCATGTAAATTCATAATTAAAAGTAGGTAGAAACCATACTGCAAAACAGCTCCCTTCCATTAAAGCAACAGGAGTAAGATTCATGCGGTTCGTAACATCACCTATAGCCCATACGGTAGGTAGGTTTGTTCGAGAGTATTCATCAACCTGGAAATGGAGCGAAAAAGATAAGGAAACTAGTACGTGCCTAATACAGCACATAAAATTGTGGCATTTCCTGAACTGACTCCTAGCACTTTCCAACAAGACAAACATGAAAGGCAAAAAAAAATACAATACCATCATACGATGAAAACAAACCTTAACAGCTCCAATCTTATCAAGTTCAACACCTACAGCTTCGAGATTCAATCTTTTTGTGTTGGGGGCCCTACCTGAAACAATCACGAAGACAGTTGCATTTCACAACATGTTGGTACTTGGTAGGAAAGAATGAGCTAAAATTGCGAAATAAACATTTTAATTTTGACTGCTTAAAAATTTTATGACTTCACGTACAATACTACATATATAATTCAGAGCAAAATATCATACAAAGTTTATAATAATAAGAATCAATCTCCCAACTTCTGTATATCACATTACACAAACATAAACCACAGACAAAATTCCATTGATTGTAGAAAGAAGCGTGCGTGCACATCGTCACAGACACAAATCGGATATAAGTGTATTATTTTTCTCCTAAACAGAAAAGAAAACACGCTCATTAAATAGTGGTATTTTAGAAGCACTCTGCCGGTGTCATACCATCATTCTGCAAAATCTGGCAAAACAAGTTCACATGCAATGCCCTCTGGACATAGAAATTAGAAATTCTTTTTCAGAAAATTAATATAATTTCAGAAAATTCTTGTAAGAGTTTTGAATAACCCATACCTAACTATGAATACATGTAACAAAATCACTATGAATTGCTTCTTGAAACAAAGAAGTTATATACAACCCATTGCACCAAAAAGGATATTTTAGATGAAGTGTCTATATTGAATTTGTTTAGCCAACAAAATGTACTTTCAACAATTTAAAATATTGGGGGTGTGGCAAGGATTAATTACTAGTTACAATTTTTTAATCAGAAATGCCAAAAACGAGCTAAATATGTCAGAATGCCAGGATGGAGCTAAATATATGATTTCAATAACAATTTACACTAGCTATTATCATTTCTGATTCAGAAATCGGAGCCCAGTTCAGGATGAATATAACTCACAAACCACTAATTTGCCTCTATGGCATATCAGCAGGCTAAAGTCACTACTTCATAGCCTAATAGGAAATGACTTGAAATTACCAGTAGCAAAGAGTACCACATCAGCCATCAATTCTTCACCATGATCAGTGCAAACTTTTATACCATTTTCTGTCCTCACCAGCTGCATCACCATATCATTGTCCCAATTAGGCTTATAATAAATGGAAATGTCAATAACATCAAATAGAACAAGAAACCAAAAGATCCAATCAGAGAGCACCTCAGTTAAGTTTGTTGTAGGATGCAATTTAATACCCCTGCCTTCTAGATTTTTTGCAACCACTGCTCGCATTTCATCATCAAATCCTCTGAGATGAAAGCTTTTAGATAAGTGATATGTGACTCAACACCGACAGAGAATCAGATATATAATGCAAGAACAGAAAACAAATACCAGGAAAACCAAATCAAAAGGGGAGACAAATACAGGTAACAACATCTATATGTCTACAGAATGAATATAGTAATTTGTTCTTTTTCGTTTTAAATGAGCTCTCCAGTAAAATTGTCAAGTATATGATCAAAGATGCCTTTAGATTTTATACATTGTGGTCACTTTAATATTGGAATGACATCATATGGTTTTTCCCATATAACCATCATAGAAACATATATTTATATACCGTACGATTCATTTCAAGAAATGACTACTACATATCCAGAGATAAGATCAACCACGTGATATTTATAACCTTAAAGGGAGTTCCTTTCTGAAAAATAAATCAACTGTTGCACCCATCCCACGCCATATTGAAGCAAACTCAACAGCAATGTACCTATTAAAAAGAGCACAAGTCATTCTCAATTAAATTTTAGGTAATTGGTTATATTTCAAGACAGGTCATTTGAACTTCTAAGCATGCTAAAATGATCACATAGTACAAAAGGTGAAGAGGTAGCATACCCCGCCCCAAATACAACAGCTCGCTTAGGTAACTCTTCTAAGCTCAATGCCTCATCAGATGTTATAGCCAATTCCTAAATGTGAACCATGAAAACATATGTACATCAGCATACATTACAGATAATGAGAGAAGTATAGATAAATATATCAAAAAAGAAACTAGATAAGAACAATATTATGATTTATTTTCTCTGGGGGCGTGATCTAGGCATGGTACATGTTAAAATAAAGACTTTGCAGTCAAGTTTCATTGCGTTTGTGTTGCTGAAGAAGAAGAAGAAGACAATTAGGAAGAGAAGAAAAAAATTAAGACTTTAAAACGCATCTCACATTAAAAGTAAAGACTTCTCCCACTTGAAAAAGGAATATGATCGAACGTGAAAATTACTAGCTAATAAATTCTAAAACCAATCATAAATTGGTGGGACTTCAAATAAAACTTAAATAATATAAAATCCTAAATCAAAGTTTGAAGGATCAAAGTTACAGCAAAATTGAAATATTGGAAAACACCCTCAATTCTTAAACTGAATGAAAGGTGAGAAAATTTGAGGATAAGACTCCAAAATCACCATAGAAACTTTCCCCTTGATCACAGATCTTCGTAGCAAGTGTACAATACCTAGGCTTCCAAATTCAAAAGTTGCGGTCCGTCCAACCAATTAATTGTGTTTACATGAGGAGCAGGAGTGTGAAAATAACAGAGAGACTATAATGAAGTTCACAAGAAATGAATTGGGAAACAAAAAATCTAGGGTCCAGTTACCAACCAAATGAGCCTTATTGATCAACTCCATGGACATAAGTCACAGCCAAACTAAATGTAGCTAGTCTGTCACATTGAACCATATATACGTACCTGCCCTGGGATAGCTACACGTTGAGCCCTACTTCCCGTTGCAATCAGAATGTTTTTTGCTGAATAGCTAATCTTGGTGCCATCCAATTGGACCACTTCAACTTCATTAGGACCAACAACTCTTCCCTCTCCTTCAAATAGTTTAACTCCCGCATTTGCAAGTAATCGCTTATAGATACCAGTCAATCTGACTATTTCCTCTGTCTATAAATTTCCAAAAGTATTTGGTTACACAGTATGACTAAAAAAGGGCAAACCAAAGGCAAAAAGTATGGAAAAATCATATAGGAAAAATAATATGCAAGATTTGATCCTAAATGCAAGTAATCACCACTGAACTATGTCTTGAAAAAAGCAATTCATCATCCAACAATTAAATAAGAAGCAAACAATTCAAAGCCTTATACTTTGCATATCTATTAACTACTGAAAAAAAAAAAAAAAAAAAACCCTCTGCGGACACTGACATAGAAAATCAATAAACATGATTACTAAAAGTGTATATCCTTACTAAACAAAAAAAATTTAATACATTCAACTGACCTTTTTCTGCAAAAGTTTCTTCCAATCGAAATCAATTCTCTCATTCAGTTCCCACCCATAACTCCTCGCGTCCTGCAAAACCAGGCATAAAATGTCCAAACTTATCCTCAAGATGAAAGGTAATTAGTAATGATCTTTGCAACCCATTTAAAACAAATTTGCTGCAAATAAAGATAGAAAGGGAAAAAAAAAGGATCAAATAGCACCTGCAGTTCAGGCCCAAAGGAAGCACCATAGACCAAAATCTTTTTGGGAACACAACCACGAATTACACACCTGAAACATCAACAATAGTCTTAGTTTCATATTTTATCTACTTTACTCCGAACTTTCCATCTTAAGCATTGAAACTTGTAAGAAAAAAAGGATCCACAATCAATGAACATTCAGACAGTACCCATCAAAGAAAAAGCCATGCATCACATGTTTCACCACTGCAAATTATGGATTAGTCTAACAATGGATGCACAACAAAACTCCTCTGTGTTTGACACCTGTTAAATTTTTAAACCATGAAAATTGGAATAATATTGGAATATGCATAGAAATAAATTTCTTAATGGTTCAAAACACTATAATTTTTGCTTCCTAAGAACCACCCCAGCCGATTGCAGTTACAGTCCTTCTATACAGATGGATCCATGACAATTACATTTGACATATAGATGTTAGAACCATGAAATCAGAATGGTGCTGGAGTGTGTATAAAAAATTCAGTAACAGTTCAAAAGATATAATCAATCCCAACTGCATCAAAGTTACAGTAGTCACATGATGTCATCTTGAAGAGGATGGGCTGTCTTTTAGAGAAAAATGAGAAATTATAAATTGTATTAAAATGAAGGACCATAAGACACTCCTAGGATATTGGATTCTTTGGAATAAATAAAATGAGAAAAAACCCTTATTAGGCTTCCCGTCATATATTTCTAACTGTCACAAGTTTAATAATGTACAACACAGAACATTCTAAAGAAAGAAAAGCAGACTCATATCTGAATGAAATACATTCCAAATAAACCATCAAGTCCAGAGAAATCGCATCTCTAGACAAGCCAACAGTTCTTCAATTGACAGTAGCTGCAGTATCATGTTCAATTCCTTGTGAAAAAATACAAATTGGGAAAGAGAAGATCCCACATTAACTTTGCAGATAGAAAAATCAGTGATCGACTTAAAGCCCTCCTGCAAGTAATTTTCTGGATTGTAAGTCCAGGCAATTGCAGACAGTATGCACAAGTATTGTGTAAGTTCTTCATTGATCAACACTAAAAGGGAATAATACAAACTGTTGCTGCAGGTTCAGAAAAACTGTACAGGTAAAACCATGAAATTTAATAGCAGTTAAAATAAAATAGTTCAGCAGTAAGAAAGTTCAGGAGAATAAAGCATAATGTAAACGAGACCAGGCATCACTAATGAACTAACTGAGGTTTCAATTTCAACAGACTTACGTTCCGCCAACTCCTCCAATAACTTCAGAGCTTATAGGATGAAATGGGAGCTCACAGATCCCAACCTGGTAACATATTCAAACTTGTTAAGCCTAAACTTGATAATTCAGTTATTCTGTAATTGTTTTCAGTCATTTATATACTTGAACAATGCATACAGATGTGAATAAGAGATGGAATTATAACAACTTACACGAATATGTAATAACTTAGAGTAGCCGTTTCTTATATTCATACCTTAGCTCCATACTGTGCTGAAAATCGCGAGGCACGGACTCCACCACTACCGGCTCCAATCACAAACAAATCAAAGTCATAGTGAGTCTCCTCTCCATTGGGATTGCCTAGCTTCCCATCAATAAGCATCTTCCTTGCCATAATGATAATACTACACATATAAAAAAATCCACAGACAAGCAGTAAGAGATCAGCATATGATAACAAGCTCTTTCACAGCCTAGAAAATCGGAAGAAAATAAAACAAAGACCCGATCTAAAGTAAATCGACGTTAACTAATTGCACAGTTTTATAAGCACAAAGTTGATGATTTTGGATTTTCAGAACTGTCAATTCATTATTCACTAGAAGTTTATGAAAGTGTAGAAGATCACAAATTTCCGCATAAAAGGAAATATGAACAACCAATGTAATAGTCTCCTCTTTCCCTTTTTCTCTCGAAGATAGCCTGAACTCAGGAAAGAGAAAATAAAAAATAAAAGATTGAACTTCAGACAGAATAATTGAAAAACAGGCTAAAAATAGATTACTTGAGTAGAAATTGAAGAAAATGAGATAATAGCTTTTGACAAAAAATAATCAATAAACAAGCAAAAAAAGATTACCTAGCTAGAAATTTGAAAAAGAAAAATGAAAAAGAGATTACGGCTTTTCACAAAAATAATCAATAAACAAGATAAAACCAGATGACTTGATAAAAAAATTCTGGGTTTTTCTCTTCCTTTGTGAACGTCAATTGTTTTTTCTTCCCAAATAAGATGCTTTTAAATGAAATTTAAAAGTGATTAGGAATAAAACACCTTTATTTATTCTTTTTTCAATTTGATCGGGTAGGTGTCTAAATTGAATTTGAGTGCTTGATGCAGAAGATCGCCACGATCAATACTCTGAATGGTGTGATATACCTTTTATGCATGTACAGTTGTGGTTGTAGTCTCGTAGAAGAGAGAGAAAGAGGGAGAGCCGGTTTCTTGTTTCGCAGTTGACCAGGTTACTATAGGAAGATGGCAGACTGCAACTAGAATACGTTTTCATTATTATTATTATAAATTATTTATAAAAAGTTAATCTTCATTTTCAATTATACAATTAACAATTCAATGAATCCACAAATTTATCACTCTCTACTGTACTTGGCTTTAAGAGTCTGTTTGGGAATGATTTTTTCCTCCAAAAAATTGATTTTTTTACCGTTATTTTATTATTCCAACTGTCATATTAGACTTCTTCTCTCACAGATAGATTCCACTTTTCTTCTAACGATCAAAAAATCAATTCTCAAAATCACTCTCAAACAGGTTATAAATGACAAACGGGACTAATCCCTGTATAATCATACTTGGTGTATACTTTTATGTACACTTTAATGTAAAGTGTACACCAAGTTTGATGGGGAAAACCGCCATTTGTCAATTAAAAAAAAAATTCTGCTCACGCGTTCTTGGAAAATAAAATAAATGTCAAGAACGATGTAAAAGGGGAATGTACAGGCAGCAAAATCCATCCCTTTGACCCACATCTATCAAAACTTAACACACCATCATTTCTATCTATATAAAAAGTTATGCTATGTATACAATTATTTTTTGCAACATCACAGTTATCCATTCTAAAAGTTGTTTTCCACATCAAAAAGCTCGAATTTTGACAACATGTGGTTGTCAATCATATTTGTACAACTAACTTTCTGGTTCTATAAATTAAACCGTTTATAAATTCTTCCGAAATGAAGGCTTGTATAAAACTAAGCTCATGTTCGAATTTCATTTTTTTCGAAACTTATTTTTCCTAAAACCCATTTTAAGCAGGGGCAGACCCAAGGGGGGTCCTGGGTTCAACCATTCAGCTGACATTCCAGCCCTTTTTTTTTTTTCTTTTTGTGTGGATAAAGTCCTGTTTGATATCAATTGAAATCTAACTTTTAATATAAATCAAAGTTAACAATTAATTTTAATAAGTATTTCATAGAATTCTTAACTCTTATCAAAATTTACTAAGAATCTGATTTTAATTCCCATCAAATAGGGGTAAAATCACAATAAATTTGGATTTTTTTCTCTTTTCTCTCATTCTATCTTACTTTATTCATCACGCCTTTTACCAAAACCTTAACCATTCTAATTTTTTAAAATTTTTTTATAATTTTTCTACAAATTTTTACTTTGCAATCAAATTTTCAATTAATTAGAATTTCAAATTGCATTTTCTTCTATCCTATTTGTGCATATAGAATGTGTATGAACTGATTACATTCAATTTAAGTTATATTTAAGGATTTATGTTTATTGATTGATTAATATTAGTAATATGTTTTTCCTTTCGATTATTTGAATTTTTTAGACGTAAGATATGAGCAAAGTATTAATAAAGTGACTGTTAGAAATCAAATTGATGAAAAATATGAGCAAAATATTAATGAAAAAATGTTTTTTAAATATAAATCTGCATTTTTTTGGATCAAGTATGAATCATTTAAAAATCAAGAACAAAGCATTTGATTTGTATAGAGTTTGATTGTGCTCCCTAATCCAAAATGTTTGCGTCTGCCCCTGATTTTAATCACATAATTTTTTATAAAATAAATTTACACGTAAATTGTTTTTTCATTTTTTAATCACACACTCTCCAAAAAAATCACTATATTGGAACCTATTTTCATCTGAAAATAGGGTTCAAATAATAACCTATTTTTGCCCCTGTTTGGTCCTTATTCTCTTTTTCATTTTTTTTCTCTCTTTTATTTTCAACTACACAACCTTCCATAAAATAATATTACATGCAAATAAAAAACTTTTTATTCTTTTTCAAAAACACATTTTTAAAAAAAACACTATTCCAACTATTAAAATTTGGAAAGAATGGGAGCCAATTCTTATTTCAAGTAAGTCTTGCAAACGAGTAAGGAAGTCCTTGTTTGACTTTCTTTATATTAAAACTCTTTGTCTAACAGGGCCTGTGAACATGCAGCATGGTTCCGATAGGTATGGGATGTCTGGATGGAACAACAAAATTGTCCAAATGAAGAAAAATTATTTTTTTTTTCTCACCACTAAACAAAATTCTTTTTTTCATACTCATTTTCAATTACTCATTGTCATAATAAAATATTTTGCACATAAATCCAATTTTTCAACTTTTTAAACATACACTTCTCAAAAAATTCACTATTTCATAACTCATTTTCTTTAATAAAAAATAATAATAATTTTAATTTTTGCCAAACAGGAGCTAAACAACATAATTTGTTACTCCTCATAAATAGAGCTCCCAATAAAAGCCACATAAAGGTACTACACGCAAACATCTTACAGTCAACCAAGTCAAGATAAAGAAAAGGCAAGAGTTGCTCTATAGTCAAAGCACTATTCCCACCCAAGGTTCTTTTGCCGAGGCATTTCCTCCAAAAGCCGCATCTCTTCACATTCGAAGCTCTCCCTCTTATAGTTGAAGCACTAACTGCCTTAAGGCGAGTCTGATGAGTATCTTTAGGAATGATTGATATAACATTTGTACTAATAAGTATCAGACATATCAATTTAGGAGTGTAGGACGGCTAACCTCTTGTCAATGTATGATAGAGTGATGTGAAATTTTGGTTAATTAGATAGAGCCACGTGGATCTTATTAAAGGGTGACCATGTCAGCCTGAATTCTATAAATAGCAACTCTTGTAATATTGTAGTGGATGAAAAAAATAATATGCTAAACTCTACACACTTTACATAACTTTTTTGCTCGTCCCTTGAGGTGGAGTTTGAATTCATTCCACTTTGGTATTATTTACGCTTTATCTTTGTTTAACAATCATCATTATCGCATCGTCAATGCCCGAATATTTTCGTCTCATGTCACAGAGCATCTCTCACGTCCATTACCGCTACAACCCTACGATTGAGTCTCCGTTCCAAACATGCTAGAATTTGCTAGCATGGACGCGAGTGAGCTCAACATCTATTGGTGCATTTTTTAGGATCAACATAAATTAAAAAAAAGTAGAAGTTGGAGCAACCTAAAGGAGATCTCAACACACAATTTCCAGCTGAACTCCATTAAAATAACACCCGACTGATGCATCAGAATACTGGAGCTTCAGTCAATTTGAACATAAAGCTAAAACTCAATATGAAAACATAATGCTGGTATAAAAGTATAGTTCAATTTATTTTTCAAGCCACTTGGTTTAAAATCTGAAGAAGTTGCAATACCAATTTAGATGACTGAATTCAAAAATCTCAGCCGTTGGAGAGAAGACTAACTTGATTCAAAAGTAGAATATAACAAGCTGAATTATACCTTCTATACGACGCATTATAATTAAGCATTAGATACATGTAAATAAAACTTGAATAATCAGACATGAAAGCCATTCCTTCAGAATATATATTCTGATCAATCTAGTCATCCATGAAAATACCCTATTCAGTATTACACCAGTCATTTTCTTTCCATTAATTACAGGCTGGCCAAAACACCATGTTCGAAAATTAAATGATAGAATGTAGCTAGAACAACTTTGGCATACTTCAGAGGAAAAGGCAAAGTAATTAGTTCCACTCAAGACCCCCAAGTGTGATGGAGCCCATTCCTTCCCACACTTCATTGCACCCGACTTCTTCGTTGTCAACACCTTCCATATTGGAGTCCCACCAACCACCACCATTTGCATCTGTTCAAAAGTGAAGGAAAATCAAAAAAAAATTATATGTTTCTCAACAAATTTAGAGCCAAAAGTGGGCACGAATATCAAGGAACACAAATATGTAATGGACTTATATTAATAACCATCATCTCTAATCTTATTGCATCTAAAGATACCGGACTTACAATGATTGAAGAGAGGTCTATGTTCTTCCTTCCTCGAAAAAGTTTTCCTTTTTCCTCTTTGTGATGGCTTTGAATCGTCTCCAAGAACTGCAATTCGTTTTCTTGCAGATGGCTCATCATCATGGCCTTGTAATTCATATGGAAAGAAAAGAGTAACTTGAAATACTGTATGAGAGAATACTTATTCATTCTTAACATTATTGAAAAGAAATAGATGCCTTTACCTGAACTCATCTACTACCCATGCAAAACATAGATAAAGTATAAATTCATTTTGTGGAGAACTTTAATAACAAAAGGAAATCCAAATTCACAAAGATCTGAAGTTAAAATGGAATAGAGTTGTGTTATAAATCATGGTTTCAAGTTTTATTGCCTCTATGGATAGCAAACTTACAATAATTGAAGACAGGTTTAAGTTCGTCCATGCTAGAAATTTTCTTCTTTTTTCCTCTTGATGGTGCCTTTGAATCTTCTCCAAGAATTATCAAACGCTTTCTTGCAGATGGCTCATCTTCATGGCCTTGTAAGTTTGATGGTAAAAAAAGAGTTTCTTTAAATGCTATATGAGAAAACACTATTTCTCAACATGACTGAAAGTGAACACAAGCTCTGACATGATATCATCTGCTACACACACATTAACACTAAATACATACATGGACTTCGTATCTTTATCCTTTCCCTCGAGAATCATTACCAAAGGAAACCATTTAGTCAATAGTAGAAGAAAAAGTTTAAATGTATCTTCTTAAAATGGCAAACAATGACACAAGCTGCATCTGGGTGGAAAACTCTATCCAATATGAGTTTGGGGTTTCTTATGGTAATCAGACATGTTTGATGATTCTCTCTGTCAACTAACTGAAAACTTTTACAAATAGAAAACTTTTACAAATAGACAGGCAAACAAATGACACTGAGAGGCCTATACTTGTAGTAATTTTTGGTTTTACAAATAAGTTTAATCAGGCTAACTGCTAGCTGAGAAATACGCTAGACAACAAATTGAATTTCAATTAAATGAATAAATTAAGTAATTATCAGAAGCAACTACAATTATACGGAAACAACAAGAGCTAACTAAGAAGAAATGACAAACCTTCAGACTGATTTTTTCTTTTCCTTGTTTGTTGTAGTTCATCTGTTTCAATAGTTCCCATCTCGTTATTACCACAAGAATCTGTGTTATCTTTTTTAAATTTCTCAACATGCTTGAACATTTCAAAAACACCGTCTAGAGAACAATTCACATTTGCATCTCCTCTTTGCTTACTGCCACTTTCTCCTTCAGCACACCTTTTCAATTCTTCACGACTTAGTGGCGACACAAATGGCCTCTGCTTCCCCTGCCAAGGATGATATGTTGTTCCTCTTAAGCATCTAAACGCACACATTACAAATCATCTAAAAGATGAAATTGAAATAAAGAGAAAAGTTCAAGCACTCATTGTCTTCTCAAAAGAAAGTACATCTTTGGAAAAATCTACCTAATTCAACTATAGTTGGATTTTCTAATCTGATTATCAAAGCTGCAAATGCAACGGATTCCAACATTTTCTTGAAAAGCTTACAAAGTTAGGATGCTACCTTCAAAGATTATATGACATTTATCTACATCCAAGAAAAAATGTACAAGGGTAAAGCTGAACTTAGCCTTTGTTTGATTCACATTATTTCCAAAATACATTTTCCTCCACCTGCTTTTAATCACACATTCTTCAATAAAATAATATTACACATGAATTCAAAACATTTTCTTATTTTTTAACCACACATTCTCTATCAATCTACTATTCTAAGATGCATACTTAGCCAAAAATGGGGCTCCATTGTTCTCTTCTTTCTAATGCAAGTTTTTTTTTCCCTCGATTTTTAGGAGCTAAAATCATATGTTATAAGATTCAAACAATAACTAGCAGTACATGATCCTGTTATACACGAACCCAATATGCTCTCTTTCTTTTCCCTTTTCAAGGATTCTTTGTTATTGTGAGCCAAAATTATATTAAAGATTAACAGAATTCAGAAAAGATAACAGCAAAACTGCACCGGTACTTCCCATTTTCCATAGATTAAAGTAAAAAATTCCCAATATTGGAATCAACCAACATAGCACCCGAATAATACACCCATTTACATTCTCATTTTCTTATTAATGCATAAATACTCTTGAAAAACTGCTTAAATAGTACCTGAACTGATGTGGGCAGTACTGAACTTTTGTGCAACTTTTGATTGAGAAAATCAGATAGTGAAACTCGAGAACACGTTTGATTGGGAGCTTTAATTTCAACATTCTTCTTAAAATCACCGACTCTGAAAAATGCACAAAAAGAAAATAGCAAAACAAAAACCCAGATACTAGGAACAAGGAAAAATGAAAAATTCGCCACAATTTGACTTGTTTTGGAGTAATTTACCGATTTGAAGTGCGGAAAAGGAAGGTTGAGGCAATAGAGCGTTGGCCCGGTGGGCGAACTGACGATTGTTGTGACTTCATCTCTCTAATTGGAGTTTTCCTTTGCGTTTTCTCTGCCTGAGACTGAAATTTCTTTTGAAATTGAAATAAGGGCGCCAGCTTTTGCATCTAATTGGCGCCAGAATAAGTACAAGTTTTGAAAATGTTCCTTAGTACTTATCGAACCTTTGAACTTTGTGATGATAACGTCCCAAATCTTTCATTTGAAGTATCCCAGTCCCTAACCTAAGAATTGTTTGTTAGTATAGTCCTTTTCTGATGGAAAAGTCGATTTGACCATTAAATGGTCAAATTTTTATTTTGATTTAATAAAATTTAAAAAAAGGACAAAAAATTCATTTTTGTGCTAACTTGGAAATATGAATAAAATATTTTGAGTAGTTTTACTCTCACATCTGGATAGTCTTGAAACCAGATTTGGACCAATCAGATTCGTTTGTACAATTTTTATTTTTTATTTTGTTTGGTGATTTAGGAGGTGTAGATTGTTGCAATGGTGATGGTTCTTAATGAGTGACAATTGATTTTTATGGTGATCTTTAATGGGCATCGACGGTGAAGGTGATAGCGACAGTACAGATTAATTTGTTTTAATGGTGATTTAGGATTTAAATGAGGGGGTTCAATTTTTATAATCATACAAAATAATGAAATATATTATTTTGTTTTGTATATGTGATCGATAATACTTTAATATACAAGTCGTCAGTGAGGGCACATTATACTTTTTTGAATAATGTTATTCAGTATAATTGGTGTTTAACATCGATTTAGATGATAGCATTCGTATCATTAAGTTATAGGTTCAATTAAATATGGTGATTTATGATTCATTTATTGTGACATGCTGACACCTAAAATTAGCATTCAACACCACTGGTGTTAAATAACATTATTCTATATATATAATTTATGTTTTTAGATTAAAGCTCTTTTTAATTTAGTTAAAAATCAGATTTTTAGTATATTTTGATAAAAGTTGATGAATTATACGACAAAAAAATTAATAAAATTATAAATCTCATCAAATGTGTGGTTAAAATTGAATTTTAGAAAACGACACATGTCAAGATCGAGTTCAAGTTCGAGTTCCCCGTTACTCTTAGTAAAAAAATTGGAAACCTCACTGTCTGAACACGTAACATGTGTATTTTAAGAATATTGGTCCACCAAAACATCGATTTCAGACAGTCATTAATTTAATGAATTTGGAAGACGTCCAAGTCGAGAAAAGCACTGTCGGCCTTATTTAATTAATTTTAGCCAGTCATTAATTAATTTAATCTATGCACTAATCAGCCATTTTACTTTAATTTAATCCTGCAATCTAATCTTAGGCTGCTTTTTATTTGCTTGGCTAAAACATCATTACTGGTTTAGCAAATCTATGGAAAATACGAATCAGAGTTTGAAGAAGGGGAGGCTTCTTGTGGTCCCTTAATTGTTCAGAATAATATGTAGTATAATCAATTTACTTTGCACAAACTTGTATTAAAAATAACAATTTGATAAGTGAAAAATTGAATAGATTTTCAATTTACTCAACGAAGGAAAATAAAGCATAAATTAATATGATCGATACAAGAATTCGACTCTTTTTTCTAAGATGATAATAAGACCCCACGCTGGTGTGACGTTCTTTCGACACTCGTCTAGCAAAATATAACAATCTCGATTTATAATAGTACCGCTCTAAATTATAAGACTTAATGAACATATTAATGTTTTGATCTCTCTAAACCTGAAGAGGTCTAAAATATATATAGATAATAATAATAATAATAATCGGGATCAAATGCAAAAGACGGAATAGTGAAAGAAAGAAAGGAATATTATTTTCGTAGGAGAGAATTGAAAGGAATAAAACCCAATGTATAGGGGTCAATTTATAGAAGTTAAAAAGGTGTTTCCAAAGACACAATTAATGAAAGTTGTGTTTGAACAGACAAAACAACTGCTTGGATAGATAGGTTTGAACAGTCAAATCGTCACGTCTAAAAGACGTCACGTGGTACGTACAAAAAAAATTTGGAGAGATAAATAAATAATATAATTAAAATATTATTTTATCAAAAAACATATATACATATATTGGACATAATACAAGCCAAGGCTCAGGGTCTGTAACCCATGCCCGGCCACGGACAAGTGGCAGCACGTGCATGGGCTTTAGCCTAATCTGGTAACATGTATGTCATCTTCCCTTCAAAGATTATTGTTATTTCTTGGAATCCAAACTCTAACCCTTATTTCGTCGAGATTAAAATCAGATTTTTAATAAATTATAATTAACGTTGATAAAATATGTGGTTGAAAAGTTGTAGTACCTATAAAATATATGATTAAAATAAATTGTTGATTTTAACTTAAATTAAAATCTAGCCCCCGTTTCTTTTTCATTATTTCCCCTTTAAAATGAAAATTATGACCGTTATCCATCACATAAAGTCACTAAATTTGAATTTCTATTTCTTGTGTG